GTATATATGGAAGCTGATCAGAATTACATTTCACCTTTGTGAATGTACATTAATGACACTATGTAAATGACACATCAAACACTTTATGTAGGGCATACGTAAATCTGTGTATCTATGTATTTACGTATGTAGGTTAGCTTAGCATTTTAAAAGCACCGAATCACCTTCTGTGGTTGAGTGTTCAATAAACCCTTGAACTATATGATTAACATTTCTCGAACCCTATCCATGGAGGACAGAAGAAAATGTATATATGCTGGTTAGCATTGTAAATGTGTGGCCACGTCTGTGGTAGAAAATAATAAAAAAACAAAAAAAAATCCTCCCCTACCCTCCCCCCCCTCCCACATACATACGTTCCCTCCCTCCATACCATAGGTTGTTACCCCCCCCACATCTTCCCTACATCTCCACACCACCCCCCACCTCTCCCTCCCCACCTCTTCCTCCCTCCAACCATATCTCTCCCTCCCCCAGCTCTCACAGTCTCCCCCGAGGCTCCCTCTCTCTCTCCCACACTCCCTCACCATTCTTCAGCCCACAGATCGCTAGTCACCATGACGACCAATGTTTTCCCCCTCCCCTCCCCCTCCCTTCGTCCCCCTTCCCCCTACAGTGAGGGGGACCAGAGGACGACGGGCCTCGTCACGGCTGCGGTTGTGTCCATCACGGGTTTAGTTCAGTCCAAGGGGGGGGGGGGATCAGTTGAATGTTTCTGTGGTGTTTCGGGGTTTTGGTCGAGTGGTCATTTTTTTGTTTGGTTTAAGCCGAGTAATTTTTTTTTTTTTTTTTTTTTTTTTTTTGTGTTTTTGTTTTTGTGTGTGTGTGTGTGTGTGTGTGTGTGTGTGTGTGTGTGTGTGTGTGTGTGTGTGTGTGTGTGTGTGTGTCTGTCTATGTGTATTCACCTATTTGTACTCATCTATTTATGCCTGAAGGATTGAGCATTGGCTCTTGGAACCCGCCAGTTGTTTAAAGCAAAGACTCCTGTCCAATTTACCTATCATATCTTGTTAACTCTATATATAACTCTATCTATATATATATATAGTTATCTAACTCTTAGAGATGTAACTCTATCTCTATAACTCTAAATGTTAACTCTATTATAACTAACTCTATTACTAGCAAACTCTATTACGAATAGAGTTTGCTTCCACAATGTGCTCCTTTAGTTAATTCCATTTACCCATTACTCTCACGCTAAAAGAACACTTTCTAGGATCTCTGTGAACCATCTGAGTTTCCAGCTTTCACCAATATGTCCCCCATGTTCTGTTAATATTTAGTGTGAACCTTTCGTCTATTTCCAATCTGTCAATTCCCTAAGTATTATTATGTTTCAATCATATCTCCCCACTTCCTCCTTTTTTTCTAGCGTCGTCAGGTTCAGTTCCTTCAGTCGCGCTTCATATCCCTGGCAACTCTGAGACGAGCCTCGACGCGCACTTCTGATATTTTCCCAGTTTCATTATATTCACCTAGTTGTGCTTGTGCGGGTTGAGCCCTGCTCTTTCGGGCCGCCTCTCATCTGTCAATCAATCAACCATTTTTTCACACACACACACACACACACACACACACACACACACACACACACATACACACACATACAGGAAGCAGCCTCTACAGCTGTCTAACTCCCAGGTACCTATTCACTGCTAGGTAAACCACGCACACTGTGTGCGCGCGTGCGTGTTTGCATGTGTGTGCGCTTACCTATTTGTACTTGCCTATTTGTGCCCACAGGATCGACCATTAGTTCATAAACCCCATTTTTCTTGCCATCGGCTGTTTAAAGCATTGTCTCCTGAAGGAATTGTGTGATATATGAAGGTATTATTGTATGTGATATATGAAGGTATTATTGTATGTGATATATGAAGGTATTATTGTATGTGATATATGAAGGATTGTATGTGATATATGAAGGTTGTATGTGATATATGTAATGTGATATTAAAGGTATTATTGTATGTGATATATGAAGGTATTATTGTATGTGATATATGAAGGTATTATTGTATGTGATATATGAAGGTATTATTGTATGTGATATATGAAGGTATTATTGTATGTGATATATGAAGGTATTATTGTATGTGATATATGAAGGTATTGTTGCATGTGATATATGAAGGTATTATTGTATGTGATATATGAAGGTATTATTGCATGTGATATATGAAGGTATTGTTGTATGTGATATATGAAGGTATTGTGTCGGACAACCCGACACCATTTACTAATATTAAATATATTAAGCAGATAATAATGCTGTTGTTGAATACATAAGTTAACCCACAGAAGATGTAGCCTATAGTGTAGTGGAATTTTCCGTCAATAGAAAACGGGATATCATTGCCACATAGCGCTATAAATTCCCCAGCTATTCTGCTGGGAATTATTCTTAATACAACAGTCTTTGGACTTTTATCATCATAGAAACATCTCATTTGAATTAACTTAATTATCAGTATTAAAATAGAGTAAATGTGGCCTTTCTACAACTTATTGACATCTGGACAAAGAGCCAGGGGCGTCAGTGGTGGTGGTGGGAGGTCAGCCATTGTTATCAGACCAGAGTCGCAGGAGCGAGTTCAACTCCTATAAATCTCCCTTGGACGACGTGTTATGGAGATCAAATTAGTTATTCTTCCATCATCATCACACAGTCAACATCTAAGCAAGGGAAGTGTATTACCGAAACCCATTATCTTATCTAGTCATTTTCTGGCAGTTAATGTTAGATAGATATAGGGCGAACCGGTTAGAACACGAACAAGTGACTTAACCCAGGTGTAGAAGAGGAAGCAAGATTTAATCTTGGTACATCAGTACATGGGGTGGTGGATGCTAGTCTCAAGTGAGGATTATTTGGTGTCAACATCCTGGTTTATATCTGGTGGACTAGGCCTACTATACAACAAGATAAGACCTCTAAATTATCATTACTAATATATGTAGTTTAATACTGTAGTTTGATTGGCTGCATATATATATAAATTTATTATACCCCCCTAATGTGTAAGGAGTCGATTTGTGAGAATATTGCAGAAATACAGTTCGCTAAACATCATACAAATTGCTAACGAAATATATAAATTAACGTAAATATAAATTTGATATAAATTCATATAAATTAAATAAATATAAATTTCACAGGTCGGTCCCCCACAGTGTGAGATATATGAAGATTATTCCTGTTATATATATGAAGATTTTCCTTACGATGCTTATCTTTGCTTTCAATACATGAATATTTTGCAGTTTGTGTTGAGGTTGTGTTCGACGAGCAGAGTGTTGCTGCTACAGAAATCATCCTTCCCTTCCGCTGGACTTGGTCCCGCAATTCTGTACGCTAAGGCCAAATCCAGTTTGCAAGAGCCATGAATAATTCCGCGAGGTCTCCAAGCTACTCTCAGCGCCGAAGACAGACGGGACGGACACACACAGACAGGCACACGCACAATTATTAATAATATGAAGGGCAGAGAGACAGACTGACAGAAGCACATTCAGACAAGATGCTAGACAGACTGACAGTTCGTACACTCAAGTGCCTCTACCTACGCGGCTAGGGACAGTGAGGGACAGTGAATAAGGTGAGAGGTTTCCTCCCTTCTCTGAAGACCTTGTGTGTGTGTGTGTGTGTGTGTGTGTGTGTGTGTGTGTGTGTGTGTGTGTGTGTGTGTGTGTGTGTGTGTGTGTGTGTGTGTGTGTGGTAGTGAAGTATGACTCCCTCTAACTTGCCTTCCTGCTGTCAGTGACGGTGCTGTTGCTACACCCTCCCTCCTGCTGTCAGTGATGGTGTTGTTGCTACACCCTCCCTCCTGCTGTCAGTGACGGTGCTGTTGCTACACCCTCCCTCCTGCTGTCAGTGACGGTGCTGTTGCTACACTCTCCCTCCTGCTGTCAGTGATGGTGTTGTTGCTACACCCTCCCTCCTGCTGTCAGTGACGGTGCTGTTGCTACACCCTCCCTCCTGCTGTCAGTGACGGTGCTGTTGCTACACCCTCCCTCCTGCTGTCAGTGACGGTGCTGTTGCTACACCCTCCCTCCTGCTGTCAGTGACGGTGCTGTTGCTACACCCTCCCTCCTGCTGTCAGTGATGGTGCTGTTGCTACACCCTCCCTCCTGCTGTCAGTGATGGTGCTGTTGCTACACCCTCCCTCCTGCTGTCAGTGACGGTGCTGTTGCTACACCCTCCCTGCTGCTGTCAGTGACGGTGCTGTTGCTACACCCTCCCTCCTGCTGTCAGTGACGGTGCTGTTGCTACACCCTCCCTCCTGCTGTCAGTGATGGTGCTGTTGCTACACCCTCCCTCCTGCTGTCAGTGACGGTGCTATTGCTACACCCTCCCTCCTGCTGTCAGTGATGGTGCTGTTGCTACACCCTCCCTCCTGCTGTCAGTGACGGTGCTGTTGCTACACCCTCCCTCCTGCTGTCAGTGACGGTGCTGTTGCTACACCCTCCCTCCTGCTGTCAGTGACGGTGCTGTTGCTACACCCTCCCTCCTGCTGTCAGTGATGGTGCTGTTGCTACACCCTCCCTCCTGCTGTCAGTGACGGTGCTATTGCTACACCCTCCCTCCTGCTGTCAGTGACGGTGCTGTTGTACAAACACCCTCCCTCCTGCTGTCAGTGATGGTGTTGTTGCTACACCCTCCCTCCTGCTGTCAGTGACGGTGCTGTTGCTACACCCTCCCTCCTGCTGTCAGTGACGGTGCTGTTGCTACACCCTCCCTCCTGCTGTCAGTGACGGTGCTGTTGCTACACCCTCCCTCCTGCTGTCAGTGACGGTGCTGTTGCTACACCCTTCCTCCTGCTGTCAGTGACGGTGGTATGGATAACCCCTGTGGCTGTCCAAGACTGTTCCGTTGCTGTCCCCTGTGGCTGTCGTAACGTATACAAGTTTGGGTGATATTATTCAGGGAGTTTAGCAGGTAATGAAGTAATGTCGTGTCTGGGTAGCTGAGACGAAGCCCCGAGCACCGAGTTCGAATGCCGGCCCAGAGCGGCAAGCTAGAGTACAGCGGCAAGCTAGAGTACAGCGGCAAGCTAGAGTACAGCGGCAAGCTAGAGTACAGCGGCAAGCTAGAGTACAGCGGCAACCTAGAGTACAGCGGCAACCTAGAGTACAGCGGCAACCTAGAGAACAGCGGCAAGCTAGAGTACAGCGGCATGTTGGAATACAGCAGCAAGCTAGAGTACAGCGGCAAGTTGGAATACAGCAGCAAGCTAGAGTACAGCGGCAAGCTAGAGTACAGCGGCAAGCTAGAGTACAGCGGCAAGCTAGAGTACAGCGGCAAGCTAGAGTACAGCGGCAAGCTAGAGTACAGCGGCAAGCTAGAGTACAGCGGCAAGCTAGAGTACAGCGGCAAGCTAGAGTACAGCGGCAACCTAGAGTACAGCGGCAAGCTAGAGTACAGTGGCAAGCTAGAGTACAGCGGCAACCTAGAGTACAGCGGCAACCTAGAGTACAGCGGCAACCTAGAGTACAGCGGCAAGCTAGAGTACAGCGGCAAGCTAGAGTACAACGGCAAGCTAGAGTACAACGGCAAGCTAGAGTACAGCGGCAAGCTAGAGTACAGCGGCAAGCTAGAGTACAGCGGCAAGCTAGAGTACAGCGGCAAGCTAGAGTACAGCGGCAAGCTAGAGTACAGCGGCAAGTTGGAATACAGCAGCAAGCTAGAGTACAGCGGCAAGCTAGAGTACAGCGGCAACCTAGAGTACAGCGGCAAGCTAGAGTACAGCGGCAAGCTAGAGTACAGCGGCAAGCTAGAGTACAGCAGCAAGTTGGAATACAGCAGCAAGCTAGAGTTCAGCGGCAAGCTAGAGAACAGCGGCAAGCTAGAGTACAGCGGCAAGCTTGAGTACAGCGGCAAGCTAGAGTACAGTGGCAAGCTAGAGTACAGCGGCAAGCTAGAGTACAGCGGCAAGCTAGAGTACAGCGGCAACCTAGAGTACAGCGGCAAGCTAGAGTACAGCGGCAAGCTAGAGTACAGCGGCAAGCTAGAGTACAGCGGCAAGCTAGAGTACAGCGGCAAGCTAGAGTACAGCGGCAAGCTAGAGTACAGCGGCAAGCTAGAGTACAGCGGCAAGCTAGAGTACAGCGGCAAGCTAGAGTACAGCGGCAAGCTAGAGTACAGCGGCAACCTAGAGTACAGCGGCAAGCTAGAGTACAACGGCAAGCTAGAGTACAACGGCAAGCTAGAGTACAACGGCAAGCTAGAGTACAGCGGCAAGCTAGAGTACAGCGGCAAGCTAGAGTACAGCGGCAAGCTAGAGTACAACGGCAAGCTAGAGTACAGCGGCAAGCTTGAGTACAGCGGCAAGTTGGAATACAGCAGCAAGCTAGAGTACAGAGGCAAGCTCTCGAGTACAGCGGCAAGCTTTGAGTACAGCTAAAGTTCAATTAGAAGTACAACCCTCATCTTAATGGTCACCTCCCGGCTGACCTGTATTACTGTAACGTTTGGGAAGAAGTATCAATAGTTATCACAGTGCAGGGAGGAGTAGTGCAGAACTTCTTGTAACGTGAAGTTCTTAGGAGTAAGTTATGTGGAATTAACAGACACATCTAATTGCCTTGTCATGGAACTTCCGAGAAGTCTGGAGCAACTATATTACGGTAAATATAATTGTTACAATGTTTTCAAAGTTTGTTCTCTTGTTACTGTTACTGGTGGTGCTGTAGCTACCCCCCCCCCCTGCTGCTGTTACTGGTGGTGCTGTAGCTACCCCCCCTGCTGCTGTCACTAATGGTGCTGTAGCTACCTTCCCCCCCCCCTGCTGCTGTTACTGGTGGTGCTGTAGCTACCCCCCCCTGCTGCTGTTACTGGTGGTGCTGTAGCTACCCCCTGCTGCTGTCACTGGATGGTGCTGTAGCTACCCCCCCTGCTGCTGTTACTGGTGGTACTGTAGCTACCCCCCCCCCCTGCTGCTGTTACTGGTGGTGCTGTAGCTACCCCCTGCTGCTGTCACTGGTGGTGCTGTAGCTACCCCCCCCCCCTGCTGCTGTTACTGGTGGTGCTGTAGCTACCCCCTGCTGCTGTCACTGATGGTGCTGTAGCTACCCCCCCCCCCCCCCCCCCCCTGCAGCTGTTTCTGGTGGTGCTGTAGCTACCCCCTGCTGCTGTCACTGATGGTGCTGTAACTACCCCCCCCTGCTGCTGTTACTGGTGGTGCTGTAGCTACCCCCTGCTGCTGTTACTGGTGGTGCTGTAGCTACCCCCTGCTGCTGCTGTTACTGGTGGTGCTGTAGCTACCCCCTGCTGCTGTTACTGGTAGTGCTGTAGCTACCCCCCCCTGCTGCTGTTACTGGTGGTGCTGTAGCTACCCCCTGCTGCTGTCACTGATGGTGCTGTAGCTATCCCCCCCCTGCTGCTGTTACTGGTGGTGCTGTAGCTACCCCCTGCTGCTGTTACTGGTGGTGCTGTAGCTATCCCCTGCTGCTGCTGTTACTGGTGGTGCTGTAGCTACCCCCTGCTGCTGTTACTGGTGGTGCTGTAGCTACCCCCTGCTGCTGCTGTTACTGGTGGTGCTGTAGCTACCCCCTGCTGCTGTTACTGGTGGTGCTGTAGCTACCCCCTGCTGCTGCTGTTACTGGTGGTGCTGTAGCTACCCCCTGCTGCTGTCACTGATGGTGTTGTAGCTACCCCCCCCCTGCTGCTGTTACTGGTGGTGCTGTAGCTACCCGCCCTACTGCTGTTACTGGTGGTGCTGTAGCTACCCCCTGCTGCCGTCACTGATGGAGCTGTTGCTACCCCCCCCCTGCTGCTGTTACTGGTGGTGCTGTAGGTACCCCCTGCTGCTGCTGTTACTGGTGGTGCTGTAGCTATCCCCTGCTGCTGTTACTGGTGGTGCTGTAGCTACCCCCTGATGCTGTCACTGTTGGTGCTGTAGCTATCCCCCCCCCCCCCCTGCTGCTGTTACTGGTGGTGCTGTAGCTACCCCCTGCTGCTGTCACTGATGGTGCTGTAGCTACCCCCCCCTGCTGCTGTTACTGGTGGTGCTGTAGCTAGCTACCCCCCCCCCCCCTGCTGCTGTTACTGGTGGTGCTGTAGCTACCCCCTGCTGCTGCTGTTACTGGTGGTGCTGTAGCTACCCCCCCCTGCTGCTGTTACTGGTGGTGCTGTAGCTACCCCCCCCCTGCTGCTGTCACTGATGGTGCTGTAGCTATCCCCCCCTGCTGCTGTTACTGGTGGTGCTGTAGCTACCCCCTGCTGCTGTCACTGATGGTGCTGTAGCTACCCCCTGCTGCTGTCACTGATGGTGCTGTAGCTACCCCCCCCCCCTGCTGCTGTTACTGGTGGTGCTGTAGCAACCCCCCCCCCTCCTGCTGCTGTTACTGGTGGTGCTGTAGCTACCCCCCCTGCTGCTGTTACTGGTGGTGCTGTAGCTACCCCCCCCCTGCTGCTGTTACTGGTGGTGCTGTAGCTACCCCCTGATGCTGTCACTGATGGTTCTGTAGCTACCCCCCCCCCCTGCTGCTGTTACTGGTGGTGCTATAGCTACCCCCTGCTACTGTCACTGATGGTGCTGTAGCTACCCCCCCCCCCTGCTGCTGTTACTGGTGGTGCTATAGCTACCCCCTGCTGCTGTCACTGATGGTGCTGTAGCTATACCCCCCCTGCTGCTGTTACTGGTGGTGCTATAGCTACCCCCTGCTGCTGTCACTGATGGTTCTGTAGCTATCCCCCCCCCTGCTGCTGTTACTGGTGGTGCTGTAGCTACCCCCTGCTGCTGTTACTGGTGGTGCTGTAGCTACCCCCTGCTGCTGTTACTGGTGGTGCTATAGCTACCCCCTGCTGCTGTCACTGATGGTGCTGTAGCTACCCCCCCCTGCTGCTGTTACTGGTGGTGCTATAGCTACCCCCTGCTGCTGTCACTGATGGTGCTGTAGCTATCCCCCCCCTGCTGCGGTCACTGAGGGTTCTGTAGCTATCCCCCCCCCTGCTGCTCTTACTGGTGGTGCTATAGCTACCCCCTGCTGCTGTCACTGATGGTGCTGTAGCTATCCCCCCCCCCTGCTGCTGTTACTGGTGGTGCTGTAGCTACCCCCTGCTGCTGTCACTGATGGTGCTGTTGCTACCCCCCCCCCTGCTGCTGTAGCTACCTCCCCCCCTGCTGCTGTTACTGGTGGTGCTGTAGTTACCCCCCCCCCTGATGCTGTCACTGGTGGTGCTGTAGCTACCCCCTGCTGCTGTTACTGGTGGTGCTGTAGCTACCCCCCCTGCTGCTGTCACTGGTGGTGCTGTAGCTACCCCCCCCCTGCTGCTGTTACTGGTGGTGCTGTAGCTACCCCCCCCCCTGATGCTGTCACTGGTGGTGCTGTAGCTACCCCCCCCCCCTGCTGCTGTTACTGGTGGTGCTGTAGCTACCCCCCCCCCTGATGCTGTCACTGGTGGTGCTGTAGCTACCCCCCCCCCCTGCTGCTGTTACTGGTGGTGCTGTAGCGCTAAACCCCCCCCCTGATGCTGTCACTGGTGGTGCTGTAGCTACCCCCCCCCTGCTGCTGTTACTGGTGGTGCTGTAGCTACCCCCCCCCCCTGATGCTGTCACTGGTGGTGCTGTAGCTACCCCCCCCCTGCTGCTGTTACTGGTGGTGCTGTAGCTACCCCCCCCCCTGATGCTATCACTGGTGGTGCTGTAGCTACCCCCCCCCCCCCCTGCTGCTGCTGTTCATGACTTCCTTCAGGGATGTGCTGACATGAGAGGTGTCCGTGTTCACCTTCCAGTAAATTCATCAGAGTTCCGCGTTGGTCGACGTGTGTACCATCGTGGCGGAGTTGGTTAAGGCAGGTGTCACGGAATCACCAAAAGTCGAGTTTAAGTCACTCAACTGCCTCAAAATGATTTTGATTGATATATCATGTCATTGTGAGATCATTGTGATGTGACTGTAGCGTAGGAATGTAATTGTCATTACCGTAGGCCGAGTGTGGTCGGGTCGACTGTAAAACCCTGGATGGTGTTTATTAAACAAATATTAAATTTCTTAGAAAAGTTCTAGATGAATTATAAAGAATATCAACAAGAGGTAAGCATTTGTATCCCAAAGGTACCAACAGTCGTTCCACAGAAAACTGATAATTGGATGATACGTTTATTTTACTGAGTTTACTTTACTATGGTAAAACACAGAAATTAAACCTCCCTTACAGGTGTGCTTATCCTGCATTGTACTGACATGCTGTACTGGAGCTTAGATGGGAGTCTAATTTGTACATACCAAGACTAACATTAAGGCTACTGGCATATTGGTTAATCATGGCTGACTCAGTCAAATTTCACTCAACCCTTGCACTGAACAATGCAATTTGTTCCTCTTACGTTGATAGCAGGATTGCATAAAATGGAATGTAAATACAATGTACTAGAATGCTCGGCCATACGAATTGAGTAAGAGTGTTGCTCTAAACGTAAGAGATGTACCCATATGACCAATATAAACACATGCACAATCGTTGCAAGGACACGAACACATAACCTGCTGCAGACAGGGACGAGTTCTTAATTAAAATATACTTAACCGTATTATTATTTTTGAACATCTGATTAATATTAAAGTTCTTAAGGGCTGAGGCAAGTTTTGCTAGTCCTTCAAATTACGCTAAAAGATACGAGTTTTTAAGTTTGGGTTTAGCCTTGGGAGTGTGTGTGTGTGTGTGTGTGTGTGTGTGTGTGTGTGTGTGTGTGTGGAACGTTCGTTTAGCTTGCCCAAACGAGACATCAGAAAAAGATTTTGGATATTGCAACCTCTTCCAAATTTCGTATATATCTGCTTGAAAAAAATCTGGGCTGCAAACCCTTTTGGCTCTGAGAAACACCAGAAAAACCTCCCCGCTTAACCTTATTTTGATGGTTAGAGTAATAATGAACATACGAGCACACATTGGTAGATTTCACATATATTAAATTTGAAACCCCTACTGATTCTATAAATCACGAGGTCTAAGAACGCCAGAACATCACTTTATTCATTCTCACTTATCAGTCGAATTGGAGAAACAAGCAAATTAAGTTAATTGAGAAAAACTGTTTGGTCATATTTAATCTGCCAAAGCACAAAATATCGTCAACGAACCTATACCACACCTCATTAGAGAGTAAAATCCTTGGTAAAATTTTTGTTTAAAAAAAAATCCACGAACAAATTGCTCAAAACTGTGGGGGGGGGAGGATTATCCATCACCATGCCAAATGTGGCAAATGTCTGTTTACAAAATTTTAATTATAACAAATAAAATTGTGCATAAAAGATAATTATTAACGTTCAACAATGGTGTTAGTGGGTAAGGTTAAAATATATTTGGGAAGTTGCTCTGGCAAGAACGCCAGCAGGTCATCAGCCGGAACTCTAGTGAACAGAACCCTCAGAACGAAACTCGAAAGTTTAAGATCAT